GTGCTTTAGGGCCAATGAAATATGTTATTAGCAAAAGGAATTCTCTTCCAGATGAAACTGACAGCTGATTATGGTTTATTTTTTTTTTCTTTTTACTATGGTTTTAAAAGAACTGTATCATCTGGGAGGAAAAATAAAGCCACACCCAATCCTCATAAATACAGAGATCTAAGTTTTCTCAACCCCAGAACAATCTCTAAAACACCATCAGGAAGTGTAGTACTAATCAGTACAGTGCCACACAGAGAAATCCTCCACAACGGAGCTCTCAGAACACTGGAGAAGGGATCTCATCCTTACGGGCAAGACTTTGGGGCAGCCAATCAGAAACTCCATCGCCAAAGAAACATGTCAATGAACAGATGCCCAGAGATTTACTAGTCCCATCATTTTCATTGTTATTTGTGGCCAAAAGAATAGAAGTGATGCTTGGGATTCGTGACCACTGTACAGGGCTTTCTTTCTACTCCATTTTATTCTCTATTTCTTTCATCTCTAAATATAAGGTTTGGGGTGTGGTTTTTCTTGGGGGGCATGGTTTAAAGTAGTTCAAAGATAGTTTAAACAAAGGCAATAGGGTTATTAGAAGCCATGTTCACACCTTGTAGAGATTAAATTATAGTTAGAGCACAAAGGGACATTACTCAGATAACCTATAGTTGAAGAACAGTGTCCTATCAGAAAACTTCCAGAAGCAACAGCTGGATGTATCACTGAGCTGCCCTCGCTAGGAGAGGAGGTGAATTTTCTGGCATATGTATGTAGGATAGTTGGGTCATGTATGTAGGTGAAGGCATTTTTTTCAATATATGTGTTGGGCAAAGGGTGAGCCACAGTGAACACCTGCCATTCTGCTTTTGGAGGATCTCTCTTCTCCTGAGAACCACACCACCATCCCAATGTTTGATGTGGTTATCTTGTTAGGCAATTTGATCCTCATTCATTCATTGACCACAGCTGATTGATCCCAAGTTGATCTAATTAAACTGAGCCAGTCAGAGGAATTTGCAAACTTCAATCAAGAAAAAGAAGTTAGAGAGTGTCTGGTTGGATACCTCAACAATAAAGTTTTTAAGCTTTGGGATTGTTTGAAGTCAAGATTTTCAGCATGTGAAGCAGAAGAGCACTGGAAACCAGTCTGTGGGTAGGGATGACAGGGGCTGGAGTGGAGGTAGGGGGGAGAAATGAAGGCGACAAAAAAAATAATACAGATGGCAGGTGGAGAGACTAATGGCTTTTAAGTCTATTAGTTCCCGTTGTTCCTGAGGCATCCCTGTCTTTAGGTTTCAGTATGCGATGATAAATGTATAGTTTTTGCTTAAAACAGGTCTTACCTTTCCTGGGTGAGCTCACCCACTTTTCTGGTTTGACTACTACCCTTTGCTGTTAACTCACAAAATGTTAAATTCAGCCTGGTCCTCTCTCCTGAATATCAGACCTGCTTGTCAAAATATCGATTGAACATCTGAACTTGGGTGTCCAATTGGTACCACAAATGCATCATCTTCAAAACCAAACTCATCTTCCCTCCTCCCCAGCCCCTGATGAAACTCACCCTTCTCATGTTCCCTATCTCAATAAATGGCATCACAGTAACTCTAATCATCAGTCTGGGAGTTATCCCACATTTCCCCCCATCTTCTTACCCTCATATCCTATAGGTATAGGTCTCTAATTCGTGCCAATTGTAACTCTCAAATCTCCACAATGCTCTCCTGTTCTCTCCATTCCTACTCCCCTACATCATTTCAGTCCCTGTCATTACTCATTGCGTTCACTCTCAAACGCTTTCAATCCTTCCTTCAACAGAGCTGCTCAAACCATCCTTCTAATTTCTGGATATGATCACATTACTTCTCTGTGCAAAATTCTTCAGTGGCTCCCCACTGTTTTCGGTATGAAATCTGAACTCCTGCAGCTGGGTCACAATTTCACTCACATTATACCCAGATGTACAATGATATAAGTCTCCTCTGTTTGCTAGAACGGATTTGATCTTGCTCACAATGCCCCCACCCTGCTGGGTAACAGGGGCAGCAGAACTAAAATTAATCCACTCTAGTGAACTCAGTGGGTAAAAAAAAAAAAAAAAATTTTTTTTTTAGACAGTGTCTAGTTCAGGTTTGGATGATTCCATATTTCAGATTAGTTTACCTTTTTCATTCTCATTTTCAAGATAGCATTTGGATTTATAGGAATCTCATGTGAATTTCATGGCATTTGGGGAAGGGGTCCCTTAGCCATGTAGTCCTTGGGGTTGTGTCAGTTGGCATTTATTGAAATGCGGTTGGTCTGGTGTATCTGAATTAGTGAATTATAACCCTTATAGGAGCTATTATTATAACCATTTTACAGACAAGAAAGCTGAGTCTAAAAGAGGTTAACAGCCCTGGCCAGATATCTGTTGGTTAGAGTACAGTCCCAATACGCCAAGGTTGCAGGTTCGATTCCTAGTCAGGAAGCAACCAATGACAGCATTAATAAGTGGAATAACAATTGGATGTGTTTCTCTTTCTTTCTCTCTTTCACACCTTTTCTTTCTTTTTCTTTCTTTCTTTTTTCCTTCCTTCCTTCCTTTCCCCCTTCCTCTTTCTAAAATCATTAAAAAAAAAAAAAAAAGGTTAATAACTTGTCCAAAGTCACAAAGTTGGGTAAGTGACAGAACCGGGAATCCATGCCATCCTGATTCTGGTAGGCACTTGCTTCTGAGTTTAGGATTCCAGAAATAAGTTAAGCTGGATGTGAGAGCACTATCTTCATGGTGTAGCTTCAGGGATTTGCTCATCCATCAAGAATATGTAGAATGGGGTGAGAAGAGGGTCCAGTTCAGATCACTTAGGGTTGTGACGTAGGGTAGGAAGGCAAGCCTGATAGCGCCTGAGCTGATCTTTCCCTCAGGACAGGATCTAGGTGGAGTCATACCTATTCCAGCCCGGGGCTGAGCCATGCCTCAGACCACCCCATTCCTCTGTCCCAGCTCCCCCAGGGCGGCAGAGCAAAGCACACACCTCAGCCAACAACACTGGGCGGGAATTCAGTGAATGTGTCCGTAGACCTTCTATTGGACGTGAGCTGCTCACATCTCGGGGGCACAGACCCTCTGCAGTGGGGAGGCAGGCTCCACACCCAGGAGGGAGAGAGAGGACGTGAGGGACAACAGGGAGTCTTCCAATGAGGGGGCTGTCTCTTCCCAGCTGCGGGGAGGCAGAGCCCTCTGCCAAATGTGGAGGGCGGTCTCCTCGGATGTGGGGGTCCCAGAAGCTTTGGCCTTTTTCAGATGCTGGTGAGGGAGGTGCCAGAAGTCCCGGCAAATAGGTGGGCCTCGCGCCCCGCCCCGGCCCGCCCCCGGGGAAAGGACGGGGGCAGGATCGCCCTCAGCCCCTCCCGCCCCGCCCCCCGCCCGCACCAGTCCCGCCCCCACTCCTGCGCAGGGCCAATGAGCACGTGGGCCCGGAGCCGCCAGCCAATCGAATGGCGGCAGCGGCTTGGGGATGGCGGCGTCCCCCACAGGCCGCCGGCCGCCGGCCTCCCGGGGGGCGGGGCTCTCGCGGCTTTCGCCGTCCGCCGAGCCGGGCCGAGCCCGTCCGAGCGCCGGGCAGCCCGGCTGGACCGCGTGCCCGAGCCGCCGCCGCCGCCGCCGCCGCCCCGTGAGCGAGCGGCCCCGCGGAGGAGGCGGCGCCCCGGGGGAGGAGGCGCCCGCGCGCCGCAGACCGCCCGCCCGCCCGCCCGCGGCTGAGGCCACCGGGTCGCGCCGCGGCGGGAGCGGCCGGCAGAGGCTGCGTGGCCGAAGGGGAGGGTCGGGGGAGGGAACGTCGCCCCGACCCGCCTCCCCCACCGCCCGCCCGGCCGCAGGCTCCGAGCCTCAGTCGGCGCCCAGCATCTCGCTGCCCCGGACCCCGCGGCGGGCGTTCACCGGCTCCGCTCAGGTAAGGGGGCCCCTCTCCCGCGGCCGCGGGCGCCCAGACCCAGGGGCTGAGGTGAAAAGCCCCTCACAGCCGGGAGAGAGACAGACAGACACAAAGACACAAAAGAGACGCACGGAACCAGAGACAGACCCCACAGAAAGAGGAAGAGACACACGTCTGCAGGGACAGAGGGACACACAGCCACGGAGAAAGGGAGAGACCCTAGAGACACACACACAGACACACAGGGAGAAAGACACACAGAGTCTGATGCAGAGATACACAAAGAGACAGCCTGGGAGAAAAACAAGACATGCAACAGACACTCACAGAGGAGCACACACAGACACAGATATAGAGGTGGGTCTGCAGAGGCAGACACACACACACACACACACCTGACCTGTAAGAGACAATCCCACACAGAGGTCACACCTAGGTACCCAGGCTCGGATACACAGACCCACACACACGCCGGCCAGGGCCCCCACCAGGTTCCCTCTGTGTGAGCTGGCGTCCTCCGGGCGGGCTGGCTGGCTGGCTGGGGTCCGGAGAGTGGGGAGGTGGCTAGGCCCCACTGGAGCTGAGGGAGGCCTGGGCTACCTGGGCACACCCACCCACAGCGCTTTAGAGGGCTGGAAGCTGGGTGGGCAGGGCCAGAACATGCCCACCTGTTCTAAGGAGAGTGATACAGGCTGCCTGCTCCAGCTGCCCCACTGTGGCTACACCCTCCCCCCTCCCCTCCAGGTGTCCAGAGCCAGGCCTGAGCATGGGGGTATCAGCCTGTGGAGTATTGGGGCCTATGGGGACCCAGTCCTCTGCCTGGGAGCCGGAGGTGTGGGAGGGGGCTCTTTTGTCTCCACTCTTAGGCATCACACTGTCCCTTCTCACCATCCTTTCCTTTCCTCTGTACCCCCCACAGGCTCAGGACTGCAGGTGGACATCTCTCCTGCCCAGGAACCATTGAGTGTGTGGACAGGACCGCCACCTCAGAAGACCGGCTACACCAGAGTCCCGCCTCGGCATGGGCCTTGCCATTGAGTCAGCCCCGCTTTTGGCTCCGCTGTCTGTGCTGGTCTGAGGGTGCTGCCCATCATGGGGGCAGCCATATCCCAGGGCGCCCTCATCGCCATCGTCTGCAACGGCCTGGTAGGCTTCTTGCTACTGCTCCTCTGGGTCATTCTCTGCTGGGCCTGCCACTCCCGCTCTGCTGATATCGACTCGCTCTCTGAATCCAGTCCCAACTCCAGCCCTGGTCCCTGCCCCGAGAAGGCACCCCCACCCCAGAAACCCAGCCATGAAGGCAGCTACCTACTGCAGCCCTGAAGGCCCCTGGCCTCGCCTGGAGTCTGGGACCTAAGTCCATCTCACCCAGAGCCTGGAATCCAGATCCCAGGATCCAGCCAGCCTGGGGTCCAGAACTCAGAGTCCAGCCTGTCCGGAGCTGGACCTAGCAGCCCAGAGTCTCGCCAGCCTGGCTCTAAGAGGGGCTCTGGTGGCCATGGGGAAACAGGCCCGGGGTGGGGGGTTCATGAGTTGGTGCTAGGGCCTGGGCCATCTGGACTCTGCTCCATCTCAAGGGCCAGGGGCTGGGTCCACTCTCTCCTTGGGCCTAGTGCCTCTTAGGCCCTCTCAGTTGGGAAAGCAAACGAATCCTTGGCAATAATGGGAGGGCATCCAGGCTGGGCCCCTCCTCTGATCCTCCCACTGTTTGCTGGATAATAAATGGAACTATGGTTCTACCCTGAGATGTTCTCCTCTTCCTGAGGGCCCTGCAGTAGCAAAATTAAAGGTGGGGGTGGGTTTCCTGACAGGTTTATTTGTGCAAAGTAGGATTGGATAATGGTCACTGAGGGTCAAGTCATGGGATGAGGTGCTGGGACCAGGGCTGAAGTGGGGACCTGATCATGGGTGGGGTCACATATTAGGTGCTAAGGCTGGACTTGGTACCAGGGTCAGGGCCTACAAGTATTGGGTTCAAGAAATAGGACAGGGTCCTTAGTTTCTGGGTTTCACTTCCCTCACCAGGTTCAGCAATTTGTCCAATTTTGCGATCTCCACAGCCGGACCCTTCTGCACTTCCTGCCCTTTCTTTTCCTGGGGAGAAGAGAAGTACACAGGGAGGAACGGTGAGGGATGGCCACCTCTCTCTGGGTCCCAGCAATGCCTCTGCCCAGCCCGCCTCACCTGTGCCTTGCCCCTCCCCTGCCCAGTTAGATTCTAGATCCTGCCTTCTCCACCCCTACCTGATCCGTCCCCAACTCAAGATAGGTGACACAACGGCCCAGCTGAAGCTTGCAAGAAGCATACAGATCTGGCTCTGAACCTCACATGGACATAGGGCCTCAATGTTGGGGGGAGTGGGGGAGGGTGTCCACCCACTGACCCTCAGAGGAACAAGCCTTTAAGCCAGGGGAAGCTAAAAACCTGGGAAGAGGTAGAACTTATGACTATTGAGACCACTCTTCCCACAGGAAGGTCCCTGAGTTCTGACAAGGAGCTAAAAGGTGTGTTTTTGAGGGAGGGGTGTGAAAAAAAAAAAACCACAGACACCCTTCACTAGTATTCTAAGCCAATACTTTAGGTCAGGTTGGGGGAGTGGGGTGCTGTTTGGAGCCAGGCCTGCTGTGTCAGACATACCCACGATGGGGGGAAGGTATCAGGAGACCCAGGGGGGGCAGTTGGGATGTGCCATATGATTCTAGATGTCCTTTAGCTGAGATTTCCCCAGAGAAGCAGATCCTGGGTGTATGACCCCTCACCCCTTCCACAGAGCACTCTAATGCTTTAGCTGGTAAGCTGAGCCCTGAAAAAAAGAGTTGGGACACTGGGAGAGGGGGAGTGTCACTCTTAGGCCTTGAGAGGTCCTTGGCAGACCAGCACCAGTCCTACCCTTTCTGCCCAGAAAGTGGGGTGTGGGCTAGGCTGGGGCTGCCATTTCCTGCCTTCCCTCTGCTCCAAGCCCCTGCCCTCTCAGCCACCTGTGCTCACTGGCACCTTCCCCAGCCTTGCCTGCTGAGAACCCCGCCTGGATCTGGCCTGGGCTGTGAGGTGGGAGAGAGTGCAAGGCCAGCAGTCCCCTTCCTGGCCTCATCCTGGCTGCTGACACCATGTGGAGCTCTGATTTCCTCCTGGCGTGACCCCTGCACTGCTCCCATACCTGTCGCCCCTCCCCTGCGGGCCACTGCCTTTGGTACGACCCAGTTTACCTCTATACTCTCAAGGCAGAGGACAAAGATGTCTTTTTCTCTCCTTCCCACACTCCCAAATTAAGCTCATGTTCTCTTCTTGGCTTCGTCCCATCCCCTGGGAGGTAGGGGACCTGGCTTTCGTTCCAGCTTTGTCATTAACCCCCTGTATGACTTTGGGCAAGTCCCTTGCCTTTTTAAACTTCAGTTTCCCACCTATACAGGCAGTAGTTAGGGCAAGATAGTCCTTGACCTTTGACAAGCTTCCCATGGGAAGCTCCCTGGGCCAGGAGTTGGGCCTGTGTGGCCAGTCCTGCTTGGGAAGGGCAGGGGACTGCAGCTCCAGAGGAGGGGCAGGAACAATGACCAGGGGACTTCTGTCTGCACCAACCACTTGGTTGCTGATAGGATGGCAATTTCACAGGAACCTCCAGTCCACCCTACTATCAGCTCTCGGCACATACTCAGGTCCTCTAATCCCAAGGTACCCATGTTCTCAGGTCACCAGATACACAGAGCCCAGCTCTCTCAGTCATGACGCCCCCACTCTGAGAGGAGTTGGATCTGACTGGGAGATCCTGGCCTCTCTGGCTCAAGTGGACAGAGCAGATCCCACCCAGATCTACCACCCTCATCTCATGAGGGCTGTCCCCCTACCCCAAGAGATGACCATCATCTCTCTTACAGGCTGTCCAGCTCTGCCAGCTCAAGCCTGGGTCTCTCTCCTCACTAAATTAAGAGCAGATTTTATCTGTTCCACTAATTGTGCTGCCTCCTTCCCTCTCCTCGAGGCCAACTAGCTTGGGCTCAGCAAAGAACTTGGCCACACCCGACTACCCCACCCCCAGCCCCAGCCCACCACAGCCTCTGGGCCACAGCTGCAGGCGCTTAGCAGCCTTCTGAGTATTTATAGCCAAGTCCAGCCCCTCCCCCAGCTGGCTACAATTACAGGCCGGGCCAAACTTCCAGCCCTTGCCTCCCTGGCCTTGGAAGGGAAGACAACAGGCCAGCACCAGAGGGATGGTGTAATGGCCTCTGCCTCGGTAGGGGTGCAGAGGGGCAGGTGTCAGTTGTTAAAAATGACAGCGAGGCCCCCCCCCCCCCCCCCCCCCGCCACCCTTGCCTCAAACTGCAGTAAATGCCTCAAATTGCAACTACAAAGTACAGTCATCAGGGCAACTTGGCCCAGCCCTGGCTCACCTCTGATCCTGGCCCAGAAAACAAGTTCCATTTCCTCTCTTAGCAACCAAGTGGACAGGACTGAACTCTTGAGCTCCTGAGCTTTGGTTTTTTAAGTTGGGTCCTTGGGCTCTGGGTTCTTAAGTCTGAATCTGGACTTTTGAGATCTACCATAGACTTGGAGATCAGGGCTCTGGGCAGCGTGGCTTGTATTTGGGGCCCTTGGGCTCTGAGTAGGATCTCCAGATCATTAGATATCTCTGAAAAGAACAAGAGCTCAAAAGGAGGACTGTCTGGCTGCTGACCTAGTTATCCTCCTCATGGCTCATTTCCCTCTTCCCTATGTGGTCCCACAGTTCCCAGCAAGGGATCGCTGGAGCTGAAGCCTGTGTAAGCCCAGCTAATGACTAAGCCCCAAGCACCCTGCCTGGGTGACCTGGTCTACACCAAATAAGCCAATGGTGCCCACGTGCTTCCTCCAGGCTTCAGACCCATATGGTCACCTAGTCACTGCATCTGCACCTGGGGCCCCACAGAGGAAGCTCAGGTTCAGCATGTCCAGTCATCGTCTCCCCACAAACCTGTTTCTCCTATGCTCCTCATATGGGCTGTGGCATCACTCTTACCCTCGGTCTCTCAAGCCACAAACCTAGGGGTCACCCCCCCCCAGCTCCTCCCATTTCTCCCATCCCCCACTGCCCTGGAGACCATTTCTTTTGGTAACCCAAACTTCCCAAGCATACCTTTGGCATCTTGCGCAGATTGGGGGAGAGTTTGAGGCAGGTGACATGCCCACGGTCGTCGCCCACAATGATGATGGGGTAGACGGGATTGAACCGCACATGGGTGATCTTGTTCTTCTTTTTGGCCACCACAGGCTGATTGCAGATGGCCTCGTACTTGTTGATGGATAAGTCAAACACGTGGGTCTGTGGAGAGATGGGTGTCAGCACACTTGGGGCTAACGAGGCTGTAGGGCCAATGGGCCTGTGTGGCCAGTCACGCTTGGGAAGGGCAGGAGGGCACCCCTGGCCTTTCTGGGGAAACAGGATAGAAGCCTAGCACACTAGAGCTAGAAGCTGTGGAGAGGGAATTTGTGTCTCTTTATGTTTTTCCTGTGGTTGAGGAAATGAAAATAAAAGTTCAGGAGAAAATTAAGTCTATGCAGAATTAACAATAATAGCAGCCACCATTTATTGAACACTTACTATGTCCTAGACTCTGGGTAAGCATAGCACATGGCTTGTATTATCTAATAATCCTCACAGCCACTCTATAAGGTAGATTCTGATATCTCCATTTTATAAATGAGGGGATAGAGGCTCTTAAGGCTAACTTGCTAGTAAGTAGCAAAGTCAGGGTTCCTACCAGTTAATGTATGTAAAGTATTCAGATGGTGCTTGTCAGATAAGTGCTCAACAAATGTTTGCTCTTGTTTTTACCAGGCTCTATGTCTAAACCATTAACAACTTTTGCCTGGACAGCTATGACAGTGTCCTAACCAGACTCACTCTTGCCCTCCTACTACAATCCCATCCTCCGTGCAGCTGCCAGACTTACCTTTATAAACAATCTAAAATCCTCCAATAGTCTCCCTTGGCACTATACATAACATCCAGATTCCTTACTCGAGATTCTCCACTCTCATCTCATACTCTTTCCCCTTTGTTCACTAGACCCCAGCCACACTTGCCTGCCTATTCCTTAAGCCCCTCAAACTCATTCTCACCTCAGGGCATGTGCACTAGCTATTCCCACGTGTGGAATACCGCTGCTCCTCCCTCCCCCCATCTGCATGTGGCTGGCACTTTCTTGTTATTCACTCTCAACTTGAAGCTTTCCCTGACCACTCTATTTAAGAGACCACCCAGTCCTTTTCTTTTATATCACTCTCTTTCGAAAACATAACAGCTTTATCGAGATATAATGCACCCATTTAAAGTACAGAATTCTTGCTTTTTAGTATATTCAGTTATGCAGCCATCACCACAACCAATTTTAGAACATATTCATCACCCCAGAAGGAACCCTTGTCCCCATTAGAAGTTATTCCCATTTTCTCCCATCACCACCCCCAGCCCTAGACAACCGCACATCTACTTCCTGTTTCTATAGATTTGCCTATTTAGACAAATGTAAATAAAATCATATAATGTGTGGTCTTTTGTGACTGGATTCTTACATTAAGCATATTTTCAAAGTTTACCTAATGTAGCAGGTCTTGTTATTGCTGAATAATAATCCTTTTGGATATACATTTTGTTTATCCAGTCATCAATAGATGGACATTTGGGTTCTTTCTACCTTTTGACCATTAAGAATAATGCTGCTATGAACATTTGCATGCACATCATCCTCTTTTAATTTCTGCCTAGCACTTAAGGCTATGGGGATTTGTTGTTGCTTTTTGACTCTTCCCTTCCTTAGAATATACGCTCCATGAGAGCAGGGACCTGATTCACCAGGCCCTGGCCTGGAGTGGGACGACAGAGTTGGCCCTTAGTAAGCATCTCTTCAGCAAATAGATGACTGACAGACTTTAACAGGATGCCTTAATCACTATATTCTTTCCTTGAGTAGGTGCCTCTGTTTTATATTAAAGTCCACAAGGAAAATGGGATTGCATCAGAATGTTTCTTACAAAATATTTTGCTGAGCTCTTACCAGTTCTCGGTGTTGAACTCCCATCTCCCCTTCTCAGACTCACCTCGCACACTTCCAGGGATGGGGTCTTAGCACCTTTTAGACACTATTTTGATCACAGGTCAACTCTGGCTCATAAGGTTTTCCTTACGTCAAGCTGGTACTTGCCACCTGTAGCTCCCACCCCGGGGCCTCAGAGAAGGTAACTGCTCCTCGTGGCATCTCATTCCCCAGAGCGCTCTCGCCTTCAAGAGGAACAGCCGCATTTTCTGCGCGAGGCCTCATGGGATGAAGTTTCCCTTCTGACGGGCCCTGGGTGGCCTGGCCCTTGAGAATACACAGAGTCCTTCCATCCTGTCTTCCCTGACCTGAGCTGGGCACAGAGTGTGCTCCCAGGAGGAAAACCATAGGATTCTTCATCCTGTCTCCAGGTCAGAAAGAAGACACTCACCTTCCCGTTGGTGCTGACTGCCGCAAACACAGTGGAAGAGTATGGCGCCCAGGCCACATCACCCACCGCTGAATTTAGGTCATAGATGAACATTGGGGTCCTGCAGTGGTGGAGGGGTGGAAAGTCTGTGACACAGAAGGTTCCCCGTGCCAGAACCCATAGGCCCCAGCCCAGGGTGGAGCCTGAGGAAGGGCAGGGCCAGGGGCAGGCCCCTCACTTGACGGTGTGGTCCCAGATCTTCACTGTCCAGTCGGAGCTGCAGGATATGAAGACCTTGCTGTGGTATGGGTTCCAGGACACAGCATCCACTGCCATGTTGTGGGCATCATAGGTATCCAGGAATTGGCTGGAGTAGGATTTAGAGCACTGGGGGTTGAGTAAGGGGTCAGAAGTCAGGTATGAAAGAGAGGTCAGCAGCCACACTTCTTTAGGGTCCCTGGAGGATCAGAACCTGAAACTTCTCCTGTCCTTATCCCACATCACTGTCATAGAGAAGCTGGGGCTAATCCCTAGCTGCTCTTCTCACCCACGACACATCCCAGAAAAAGAAGGGGCTTAGCGGCTGGGGATTGGGGTGGGCCGGGGAGCCTTCCTGGAGGGTGGGGGAAAGTGCTGTAGTCTGCCCAGCGGGTTCCAGACCAGGTAGAAAAAGGCCTTTTTTTTTTTTCTGAGCCAAGGCAGAGTAGGTCTGGGGGTCCTGTGTCCAGGCCAAGGCCTGTGGACAGACCCCTGGGTTCATCTGCAGCTCACAGACAGAATCCTTCAACAATGACAAACCTCCCACCTTGCCCAGGTAAGAGCAGGTGCAGAGACAGGAACAAATCCCCATTTCATGATTTCCCATTCTGTTTCTTGCCTGACCAGCAAGTCCCTACACCCTCCCTCCTGGACATGTGACTGACTAGTCTCATTCCCTCCTGGGCCACCACTGGGAGGGGTGGAGAGGGGGTGGGGACCTCTTTTGCATTCAGATCAACTCTGGCTGGGCCTCAGGGGCTCCCGGGAGGCTGCCTGTAATTAACATTCTGGTCTCTAAGCCTAAGAAAAGCTTGCAGTCGAGCTATTTCTGGATGGATGGAGAGGTTCAAAGGATGTTCACCTACTGACACAGACCTTGTGGAAACTGGCCATGAAGTTTCATCCTGCCGACTAGGATGCACCCCATATTCGGAGATAATGTTTCTTGTTACTTGGCCTTCAAAATTCAGCTCAAGTTCAGATCTACGCCAGGAAATCTCCCCAGAATGTTCTAACTCCCACTCCCACCTCTACCCCTTCAGGGAGGAAGGGCGGGCCCTGAGGGAAAGAGGCTGAGCTGGGCTCAAGTCACCCTCTAGGTTCTTCCTCCCCTTTCCTGCAGCCAGTCCTTCTTCCTGCCACCCAGTCAGCCCAAGAGATGCATTCTCTTCCCCCAAGAAGCCTTCTAGAACTGATGAGCACTGAGACCTGTCAGAATAGGATCTGCGGAGAATGTTAAGCTCGTGGAGTGTTCAGGTTTAAGCCACCCTGTAAGGAGCTGGCACAGGGGCCAGAGTGCCTCACCTTGTAGATTTTCCCCTCCTCTGTGCCCACCAGGAACATGTAGTCGATCTCTCTGTGGAAGTCAAAAGCAGTGCCACAGCCTTGGGAGAAGAGGAGCAACCTTAGCCGGGTCCTGAGCAGGAGGCTCCCAGCACACCCCCTCCCCCTCCTTCCAGCAGGCTCCCAGGACAGCTGAGCCAGCCCCTGTGAGGCCGTGGCCAGCAAGGCAAACAGAAACCGGCCCTCTGGCCTGCTGCTGCTGGTCCCAGGCAGTTGGGACTCTGCAAACGGCCAGGACTTCTGCAGTCAGGAATGAGGCCTGGGTAAACAAGGCAGGGATTGAGTTTAACAGGGTCAGGGTCAGGGTAAACAGGGACAGGGTCTGCAAACAAGGACGTTGTCTGTGCAAACAGCGATGTAGTCTGCATAAACAGGGTGGGGATTGAGTAAACAGAGACAGAATCTGGGAAAACGGGGGGCCTGATCTGCATAAACAGGGTTGGATCTGCATAACAGCACCTGATCTGCATAAACAGGAGCGGGCTGCAAGCAGGGATGGGATCTGCATAAACTGGGAGGGTCTGCAAACAGCCAAGGCCTGGGCAGACCAGGCCAGGCTTCCCATTACCTCCAGTCCTAGCTCCAGCACAAGTGGAGGAGAGAGAACTCAGTACTGGGGAGGGCCCCGTCACTGAGTGTGAGTGAGCTGAGGCTCCTACCCACTGTGTGTAGCTGTAGCCCCTCTGGACCTTCCAGGGTGCTGCCCTCCACCTTCAGCTTGATGACATCTGTGTGAACCAGCTCACTCTGTAGTCACAGAGGGGATGGGAGGGCACATGGACAGAGATGAATCAGCAGGGTTGGGGTATCCCTTTTCCAATCAGCTCCCCCCCACACACACACACACACATACAGACACTCCCCATCAACCCCCATGTTACCCCTTCTGGGAAACAGGCACCTTCACGAGCGTCCAAGACACAATCCTGCCATCAGATGACACAGAGAAGAAGTTAAGGTTGTTGTCCATGTCATCCTTCTGCCACTTGACCTGAAACATTCAAACTGTGAGTTCTGGTACTCCCGAGTGAGTGTTGTGTTAGGCCTGTGAGCTGAGCAGGGCTCCCTCAAGAACCTATCTGAGCTTCAGAAGCAAGTTCTGGAAGCCCATTTCCCAGCACCCCACGATTGGCCCACCCTCTCCCACCCTCCAACCCTGTCTCTCTTATCCCTCTCCCACCCTCCAACCCTGTCTCTCTTATCCCTCTCGCCCTGACTGTCCAGGGGCAACAGCACCACGTCAGGGCACTGGCTTGTCGGTGGAGATGCCCTATTCCTTCTGCGTTGGTTCAGCCTCCTCCCGTACACAGGGCCCACACCCAGTTCCCTCCTTTATGAAACAGCAACTGTAACAGCACAGGTTTGTTGTAAGGAAACATTAGACAGTAAATGTGAAGCCCTTAGGTCAGAACACGGCATATATTAAGTGTTCAACAAATGTTAGCTGATGTCCTTATTATCGTTATCATCCTAGGAATTAGGGTGCAAATGTTCTGCAGCTGCTTTCCCTGTTTGCCCCCTCCCCGATCTCCTCTTCCAGGCTTAGCCTTTCTCTAAGGCAGTCTTTCCTCTCTTCTCACCTTCACTTCACCACCAGCTCCTGCTCCCAGAATCTTTCTCTCAAAGCTCAGATTTGAGCTGCATTTCTCCATCTGCAAATTGGGGTTAATAATCCTGCCCCACCCATCTTCTCAGGGCCAGAAGCAAACATATGGGAAAGTGTTTTGGAAACAGAGCTGTTGTCTTATGAAGATGACACGCTTGAGGCTCAAGTTTCTGTTGCCAGATGTGGAGGCTGGGCTGAGCCATGTCCCAGAGGGCTGGGGAGGGGCCGGGTGCCTGAAGCTTTCCATCCTCCTGCTCCCTCCAGACCTCCCATGCTGGGACCACGATCCCTTCCCTGGTCTCAAGCAGAGGCCCCGGGAGGGAGGGCAGGAACCCAGTGCCATGCTTGTAACCGCAGCTGTCACCATGACTGTGGAGGGGTACTGACAGGGGAGAAGGAAGGGGCTGCGCCTCCACTGCTACCCAGTCCTGGCTGATTGGAGCTGCAAAAAGGCAGCGCTCTTTTGCGCTTTCACTGGGGGCTACGGGAAAGGGGGGGGGGGGCAGCACTAGAACACCACAGGGCCTGTGAGCCACAAGTCAGAGCTAGACCACTTCCCCTCTGTGTAAAGGTAGTCTCTTTAAAGAGGGGAGGGATGGGGATGTCAAAGGCCAGGCTGTAATAGGCGCTAGGGAGCTGCAAAAGGAAGTGTTTAATGAGCAGCCGCCAGCATGCATGGAAATTGTATTTCACACCCCACTTAGCAGCCTGATGCCCAATAAGGGGTGGTGTGTGCATTTGCAAGTGAGTGTGTATGTGTGTAAGTCACAAACATAATCCTGGGGTAGAGGTGGGAGGGTAGGAACAAAGTGTGTGGGGGTACAGGTAAGAGAAAGAATGAATGCCCTGCTTAACAGCTTCTTTCTCTTCTGCCTTATCTGATTAGGACAAACCTGCTTGACCCCAATTTGTGCTCATTTATCCTTTTTACCACCTTCCCCAGTGCTGTGCAGATCGCACACATACACACACACACCCAGCAAAGTGTGGCTAGTTGAGGCTTCACAGTGGGGCATGAGCCGGGCTGGGCTATTCAGGCGGGATCCCTAGGGAAGCAGCCTGTGTCATGAGACAGGAACCCAGTCCTCTTTAAATGGACAGCTTTCTTTCTGGCCCCAAAACCTCCCATGGCTCCCTGCTGCCAACAGAACAAAGTCCATCTGCCTTAGCCTGGCATTTGAGATCCAAAATAACCTCCTTCGTATCCCTGAGACACAGTTCCTTTGAGAAGGACCTAGGCTCTGATGTCTCTTCTTTCTCTTCAAGCTCCAGGTTCCTATGGCCAACTGGCTATAGGACCCCCCCTCTGGCACCTTGTATTACCTTCTGGCCAAACCTGTTCCTCTTCTGCATTTCCCACTTCTACAGATGCCCTCCGGGGCACCCCGAACCATGTCCTGGGCACCACAAATCAGAGCTCCAGGCAGCAGCATCAATTCTTCCCTTTCCCATATGAAATCAGTTGTTTTCTTCTGTTGGTTTTACTGCTTCAACAGCTCTGGACTCTATCTTCTCATCTCTCTCTGCATTGCCTCTGACCTAGCTTGGGCTCCAAGATTTCTCATGCAAGAGCCAGAGGAAATCTCCCAGACTCAAACATAACTGCATTACTCCTCTGCCCCAAACCCTCCAATGGCTGGGCAGTGATTTTCAAACTGTGCTGGGGGGAAATCTCAGGAGTCTGGGGAAAGCACCTCAGGGGACAGGGAGTGACAAGAGGCCCTCAAACAAGTAGGACCCTGATCCAACCAGTGCAGCTCCACACTCATCTTTTTAACATACTGGGCTTCCATACTTCATTTGCAACCACCAACCTGCAAAGTCCAAGGTTCTAACTTGCCAGAGAAGCACACTCGTGAATGGGTACCTGTGCTTGTCCCAGGTCCTGCTCCCCGTCCCTGTCTCT